AAATAATATATATTATTAAAATATAAAATGGATAGAAAATTTTAAAGGAAACAAACACAAAATTAATTATAAAGTTATGCAAAAATATTTAATGGAAAACAGGTTGCTATAGGCCTAACCAATGTATATATATAAATATATATGCATCCACAAATCCATCATAGATTCTAAAATTTCTTATAAGAAATTGGTAACCTATAGAAACTCTAGCTTAAAAATCAGCTATATTTATTTAAAACCAACTTTTAAAATTTAAGAAAAGTTTGTCAATTGGGTACATCTACACCCATGCATTCACACACCGTTAGATATGTTTATACCCAGCCATATGTATAATGCGCACACACACCTGTAATCAGCGTTATTGTTGAGATCCCACACAGATTAAGTACCTTTTTATACAACAAAATCTTCAAGCATTTTAACGATATAAAAAAAAAAAGAAAGCAAACAATTTTTAAACAAAATTTTTTATTGGAATAAAGTGAATAAAAGTGATTCGATGTTTAATTGGGTGGCGGATGAGGGGGTGGGCCATAGGGCGAAGGATGCGTCGGATACATGTGAGGTGGCATACCCATAGGCATGCCATAGGGATGTGGTGGCGGAGGTGGTGGTGGCAGCGGTGGTCCCTGCATATAGCCGTAGCCATGCGTGGACATGGGGAATCCCATGCCGGGCATCATATTGAAATTGGCAGCAGGTGGATGATAATTGTGATAGTAATTCGAATGCCAACTGCCTGGATTGTAGCTGGGATGATAATTGTACTCCGAGTCTCTGGACTGCGAGCGTGATTGACTGTGCTGGCGTTGCTGTTGCTGATTGCCATGGGAATAGTTCTGCGACTGGCGTTGAGCACGTCGACCCCGCTGTCGAGGCGCTGCCTCGCTAGCTTCTGTGTTCGTTGTTGTCGACGTGGTCACCGTATCCGTAGAGTCCGTGGAATTGGTGCGTTCACGTTGACGCTTCTTGCGCTGCTCCCAGCGCGCTTCACGCTCCGCCTCATCATCGGAGTAATCTATGAAGCGCGCTGGTGGCTCCACGTCGTGCTCCCACGATGCATCTGAGCCGCGCACCTGCATCAGCTTGGACAGTATTACGAATTGTGTGTGCTCCGTTTGTGGGGCACAGTAGACAATGTCGCCAATGTTGATGTTGCGCTCCTTGATCTGCTGATTGGAATTGAAGCGAACGCAGTAGAGTGGATCGGCCACCTGGCCGAGCACATCGAAGACCTGGCCAAGTACTTTGCGTCCCTTCTCCAGGAAGAGCACAGTGTCCAAATCGAACAGCATTGAGTTGGGCAGGACACTGACTAAAACTAATTGATCCACTATAGATTGCACTTTGCCCAGCTCGATGCATTCGTCCTCCGGAACGGTTATCTCAAGCTGTTCAATTGGAGGTAGGTCATCCAGCAGCATTTCACCACGTACTCTCGGCGGCTGACGACGGCGCGGCTTCGAATCATCTTCCAAATCGTCATCGTCGTCGTCATCACAATCATCGGTATTTATGCGTTTATCTATTTTCTTTCGCAATACTGTTAGGTATTCTGCCTCCGAATCGGAGTCCGATTCACTGCTGCTGTCGCTGCTCGAGCTGACGGCCACAACTTGACGACGCATACTGGAGGGTCCCGTTACTGGTACTTCCACAATATCATCATTATCGCTGTCTGCTATTGGTTGTGGCTCTTCCACGTCTGAGTCCATATCAGAGCCATAGCCAGAGAGTAAACTTAAGCCATTTGTTTGTTTCGCTGGAGCTGAACCTTCATTTGTTGGCGAGGTTTCACAGTCCATTGCACTAACAGCAGCACCAAGTTCTCCTTGAGAACTAGTAGCTATTGCCTCGTGGTTTATCTCTGGTTCAACCACTGCACCGCTGACGGTTTCTTGTTCCACTGTTGGACTGGAATTGGTTGTCGTGTTGCTTAGCTCTGCTTCAGCTCCTGTGGACGAGCAGTTTTTCTCTTCCATTTGAGAATTTGAAGCATCGGTGGTCATCTGCTCTTGAGGAGTTGATTTTTCTGGCTCGATGCTTTGCGCAGTTTCTGCTGATGTTGCCGAGGTTGACATTTCCTCTTCAGGACTAACAACATTTGTGGAAATCTTGGTGCCAGTTTGGTTCACTGAAGGATTAACAGCTATTACTTCACTGTTCAGCTCTGTTCCCCCTAAGGTTGGCTCTGCTGTGTTTGCAGGTGAGGCACAATCTAAAAACATGACATTCACATTGTTATGCGCACTTTTATAGGATATCTAAATCTACCTGTTTGTGTCTGCTGTTGCACCTGATTAGCTGCCGTCGTTGTTTCATTCTCTTTGTGTACACTTGCAGTCGCTTCTGTTTGGCTTGATTCACTAACAACTGCTGTTGAATCATTTTCGGTACTCACTTCGATAGTGCTTGCATCAGCTGCTGCTTGCACAGTTTCTGTAGCGATGCTCGCATTTGTCGTTACTGCTGTCATTGTTACCTCGTTGCTAACTGTTGCTGCCTCCGAATTGTTAGCTGGCGCTATTTCCAGCTCTGCTACTTCCATAGTTAAGGAAATAAATGTTAAGCTACGCCTTAAACACAAACACGTTCACCAGGCGCACGTGTTTATTTGAAACGGACAAGCAATCGAAACTGGTGTCGATAAGTAGTATCGATACCCCTTGATATTTCACTCGAATAGTTGAGAGCGGTGCTGCCAACTTGGTTTTAACATGGAGGAGCGAAAACATTTTGAAATATTACACATACAAGAGCGGTAAAAGTAATTTTTTCGTATTAGGTTTTTATCATATTTCATTAAATATTTTTATTATTTTACAAATAATTATTTTTCAGTTTAAAGCAATATTTCCCATGCCCTCGTAATAAATATATGTATGTATATGCATGTGTAAGTTATTTCTAAGAGTTGTCTGTGTCGGTCCTCTAAGTACATCCTCTAAGCATATCCTCTATGTATATTATCCGACTGACTAGGCCTGGGCGACTGAAGAAATGCGCCAGCTGCTGCCCTTTATATAGGGCGACTTTCACTCAAGCAGTATGTCGCTCTCAAATGTTGAGCCCAACGACAGGTAGATCGTCGCAGCCGAGCTTTAAATGACCAATGGGAACACTCTCTGCTGCTTCGAGCATTCTAGCGTCGTTTTACTCAAATATAAATACAAAATGATATTTTGATCTCTTAGGCAGTCAGACAGAGAGACAGACGGAGAGACAGACTGTGAGATAGACGGGAAGACAAAAGGAGAGTCAGATATACAGACAGGCCCATGTATATGTATATACATATGTTTTATAAAGGTAAATGTTGTTATGCTGAATAGCTTTTATACATTATTATTTATAGCTATTCGATGGCATAGGCAGCAGCCACGTCTCTTCCTTGATGGAAAATATAATCTCTCTTTACAACTACAATATTAAAAATTTGTGTTTTTTTTTGTCTATCTCTAACTATCTCTTTACTCAAATTCAAATTAATCTAATCCCAAAAATGAATAGCTCCAAATTTGAGGCAAATGACATCATGGCCTTTCGCTTGGCGCCTTCGGCTTGTGTTTGGGGCTTTGGCTTTTGGCGCTGTCTCTGCCAGCCAAATGCACTTACACATATCACAATTACTGGCATGAGCGCATACTTAGCGCTTACATTCATAAATTAGACAGCAAAAATGGGATTTTACAAAACGCTAAGTACATGCATGTGTGTGTGTATGAGGGTGTGTGTGTGTCTGTGTGGCCAGGCTTTGGCCTAAGAAAATCAGGAAACGGAAGTACACCGAGCACAAGAACATGCAAGACATGGGTTATATATCAATATGGAGCAACGTTTACCGCCTGGGCAGAGCTCTCTGTCGATGGGCGATAGAGATAGACAGAGAGAGGGTTTGCTGCCAGCCGAAAAATATGGGCTGACATTTTTCGTTGTGGCCGCAAAAACCGCATTTATTCAAGTGTCAAATAAATTCATAGTTTTTCCGCAACAGCCACGCCCCCGCCTGCCCGACTGTCCGCCTGCACAGCTAAAGTGGGCGTCGACAGCAATGGCGTTGGCCAACTAATTAAGTCAAATGGCGCGCTGCTTGAGTGTGTGTGCCAAAAGAAAAAGGCTAAAAAAGGAGCTAAAAATCCAGCTAGCCCCAAAAATTCGATTGCGGGCGCCGCCTGAGAGTATGCGATGGTTTTTGAAGCGCCGACTAAATGCATGCAAAATATTTTGGCAACTTATGCTAAGCACATTTAATTGCTTTTTAAGCGCACTTCGCTTGGCAGTTTCAGCTAATTAATGTTACTCATACGCCACGTAGCACAATGCCCGTTAATAACCTTTAAAGGCGCGCTCAGCTGACTGCAGCTTAAGCAAACAGATAAAATACTGGCAGCCTCCAAGCCCAACTCATCTCAAACAAATACACACACACATGCACAGACATAGACATGGACATGCATA